AACAAAACAAAAACGATGGGGGGATAGCTCAGTGCAAATTGGCTTCAATCCTTATACTGTATATATATTAGAGATTGGCTTCGATCCCTAATACTATAGCAAAACAAACCCTTTTAGCAATGTTGGTCAGAATGTGACAGAATGCAACCTTTTCTACTCTGGTGGGAGTGTAAATTGGTATAGACTTTTGGAAGATAGTTTGGAACAATCTAGCAAAATACTTAACACACAAATATTCTGTTTCTATGCCACAGGATGTTTATATGAAGGAGAAGGAATGCTTCCTAGCACATTTTATGGAGCTACTATAACCTGGTACCAAAGCCAGACAAGGCCAGTATACTAGAGGAGAATTACAGGCCAGTTGAGTTGTGGACATAGTGGTGGAAATTCATCCAAAACACCAGACTTAGAATCAATGTCAGTTCTCTCCAAAGTGACTTTAAAATATATATGAAATATATATAGATGAAAAGGCCAAAATGACCACAATATTCTTGAAGACAAAAGAACATGGTGGAGAGAATTGACATGTGAGATGTCAAAACTTTTATAAAGTTTATAATAATTAATACTGTGGTATCTGTACAGATCAATAGACCTGAATAAGTATCCGGAAAATAGACCCAGGCACATATACAAATTTGATATGATAGATAGGGGACTGAAGATCACCAATGAAAGGAGGAATTATTAAATAAAAATCTTAGGAAAATCAATTTTCTGTGTGGAAAACAAATTAGATTCCTATGTTAGGCCTTATAAAAAATTAGTAGATTGAAGGCTGATGTGTATAAGACAAAAACCTTAAAACTTACCCAAAGAAAAGATAGGAGAAATTTTTATTTCTTATTTGCACAATAGGCAAGTGCTCTACAAATGAGCTACATCCTCATCCCTTATTACAGATTTTATTTATGTATGTATGTATGTATGTATGTATGTATTTATTTATTTATTTATTGAGACACGGTCCCACTATGTAGTTCAGGTAGGCTAACCTTCAACTCACTATGTAGCCCAGGTTGGCCTCAAACTTGTGGAGATCCTCTTACCTCAGCCTCTTGAGTGCTGGAATTACAGGCATGTACCACCACGCTTGGCTCTAGAGAATTTTTTAAATGACTTGTGCTAGGGAAGACTTTAAGACCCCTAGAAAGCACAAATCATGGGGAATTTATGTTGTTAAAATTAATTTTTAAGAATCTCCAGGAAAAAAATTCAAAAGGGGCCACAATTGGGAAAATATACTTCTAACACATGCAACTGACAAAAAAATTAAATACGCAGAATATATAAAGAACTGCTGAAGGTCAATTAGAAAGTCCATTCAATAGAAAAGTGGACAAAACATATGAAAGAGAAGTATAAGTGACTAAACAAAGATACTTAGCCTTATTAGTGTCAGGGAAAACTAACTTAAAACTACAGTGAAAGGGCCAGGGATTTAGCTCAGTGGTTCCAGAGCCTGCCTCGAAAGCACAAGGTCCTGAGTTCAATCCCTGGTACCAAAAAACAAAACAAAACAAAAAAACTACAATGAAAGAGTAATGGCAGAGTAGAAGCATCAAAAAACTTGGCAAAAGTTACCTGAATCAGGCTTATCTGGACTCTGGAAGCTAGTCAGAGGTTCAGTGCAGCCAAGTAGCTGAAAGAAAAAAGAAAAACTTGCCAACCAAAAATTCTAAATTTGGCAAAATATACTTCAGAAATGGAGGAGAAGGCCGGGCGTGGTAGTGCAAACCTGGAATCCCAGCACTTGGGAGACTGAGGCAAGAGGATTGCTGTGAGTTTGAGGCCAACCTGGGCTACATAGTGAATTCAAGGCCAGCCTGAACTACATAGTGAAACACTGCCTCAAAAAACTAAAAAATAAATAAAAAGGAATGAAGGAGACATCAAGACACATTCAGTTAAACAATATCTGAGAGAATTCCTTACTAACAAATCTGCCCTACGAGAAATAGCAAAAACAGTCTTTCAGGCTCACTCACATGTTATTAAATTTACTTTCTGGCACAGGGCCAAAGAATTTGCATTTTTAAATAAACTCTACTCTTAGTTCTTATACACCAAAAATAAAACCCCACAAAATTGTTAAAAACTGAGGAAACAGACAGTCCTATGACATCAAGTGCTTGTTAGGATATGGCACAATAGAAACTTTTAAGCACTCTTGGGGAATGTGTAAATTGATTATACCACTTTGGAAAACAATTTGGCACTATCTGGTAAAGCTGAAGATATGTAGACCCTGCGGTAGTTGTATAAACACATGTAATTGTAGCCTGGGGAATTTAACAACTTAGTGAGACCTTGTTTCAAAATAAAAACTAAAATAGGACGGGGGGGATGTAGCTCAGTGCAAAGGCCTTGGGTTCAATCCCTGGTACTGCAAAAAGATACATAATGTTCACAGCAGCCTTTTTTAATAGCAAAAACAATTGTAGGAAACAAAAAAATCCAGATGTCATTGATACGAGGAAAGCTTTTTAAACATATGGCATAAAATGTTTGAAAATGAGTGGATAATAGCTATATGGATCAACATGTGGAGCCAAAAAAGCAAGTATCAGAGGAATTCATAAGGCAAATTTATTTGGGGATGTAAACATTTATAGAATAAATATAAAGAAAAACCAGAGAATGAAAAAGTTAAGGTAGTGGTTACTTCTGGGGGTCAAGGGAGGGATACGCAAAGAATTACCACAGCTTTGATGATACAAGAGATGAACATGTTTTGATTTTCTTTTATTTCTTCATTATGTGTGCATGTCTCCCCTCACCCTGCCCTGGTACTGGGGATTGAACCCAGAGCGTTGCATGCTAGGCAGTTCTACCACTGAACTACATCCCCAACACTAAGTTCCCCAGGCTGCCCTTGAACTTGCAAGCCTCTTGCTTCAGCCTCCTAAGTAACTGGGATTATGGGTAGATTCTTCTTCCAAACTCAGATCCCCACCCCACCTCATTTTAGTGTTATTATCAGACATTCCTATGCTGCTTTGGCACAACTCCAACACAGCTCACACCGGACTATTGTGTATTTTACATGCGAGATGTATTATGATAATTTAAAATATTATATAAAATAGCACCTATGCTATGCTGCTGTTGAAAAGAATGATAATAACTTTTTAGGTAGTACAAGCCAAGTTTTCCTCCTCCAGTTGTCTTTAGCTATAGCTATCATCTCATATAGTTTCCTTTTCCTTTTTTGGGTAGATGAGTGAATCTTGTGTCTGTTTCTTCTCACTTAAGAATAAAATCTATTAGAGCAGATGATTCTCTTTTCTGTTTTAAAAACCTGTTTTGTTCACTGTTGCCCAAAAAGTGATTGAAACATGGTAGGTACATGCATAAAAATTTTTTGTTAAATGAATAAATGTGTATCTATGTAGTGTGACCCTTTAAAAAAACAAGTTGGGCCGGGGATTTAGCTCAGTGGCACCGTGCTTGCCTCCCAAGCACAAAGTCCGGAGTTCAATCCCTGGTACCAAAAACAAAAAACAAAACAAAAAAACCCCTTGAGTGTATGTATGTGTAATGTGTATATGTATGTATAGATATATAGATGTGTGTATGGTTACACACGGACACAAACAAATATTTAAAGATCTGGAATTCTGCATCTCAAATCCACCTCTGGTATAGGAGTAGAGTTAGGAGTAGAGGTTGATCACAGCTGAGTAAATGAAGACTATTTCACAGTATATTTTATATTCTGCATTTGTATTTTTATAAGACATGTATTTTTGTAGTTTTAATTAAGGGAGGAAACATTTTGAAAATCAGAAGAAAACTTGAAAAAATGAGTGAAAAATAACATTGACACACATACTAGACACTGTAACTTCTAAAATTGACTGAGTGGGTTATTAGTAGACTGAGACTGGAGTAGGGTCAGCTTAACGTGCTATAGGGTAGTAACCCTTTCTCCCAGTGTGGATCTCTGGAAGAAAGAGCATGGAATGGAGGGGTTGTGAGAATTTGTAAGACCTGAGGTCATGTACTGAGAAGTTTTGTGTCCTTGTTACTATATATACACTAAATAGTAAGCTTTTCTGTTTGACTTGAAACTTGAAAAGCAAACAGATTAGTATGACCAGTGTTATATAGTTGGTGGATGGAGTATATTAAATATTATTTTGTAGATCTTTTGAGATATCTAGTATGTAGATAAATAAAACATTATTTTAAGGTCATTTTTTCCCCCAGTTACCTTTTTCTTAGTGATTCTTCTGCCAAACTCAAACCCCCCTCCTCACCCCGTTTTAGTGATAAAAATACAGTATGTACCACAGAATGCTCTCACCAGACATTCTTATACTGCTGTGATACAACTTTAACACAGCCGTCTCTGATGCAGGCGCTAGGTCAAGAGAAGTATTTTATGTACATATTTGTGGGGATGATGACCTTTTCTAAAACAAGCATGTAAATACATTCACTTTATTTAAATCTTAGCAGGAATGTGAGTGTCATTTGTCACAAAACACAAGATTATAATATTGTCCTGAATGGTTGATTATGCTCAGGACAGAAGTCCATGATAATCTTTGGCTCATTTATATTTCTGAAGGAGAAATGGATCAGAGGTATGTGGATGTGAATTGAGTGTTAAGGAACACGGCCAGCCATTGGCTCACTTACTTTATGAAGTAAAACTTTCTCTATTTTTACATCTCTTGCTGTTTTTTTTTTTTTTGGAACTGGAGATCGAACTCAGAACCTTGTGCTTGCGAGACAGGCAGTGGCGCCACTGAGCTAAATCCCTAGCCTGCATTTCTCTATTTTTACATTTTACATTACTTTCTCAATTTTTACATTTTCCCCCTATACTTTATGTACTCTGAAGATTTCTCTCTACTCCTCCATGAAATTGGGGAAACATACTTTATTATTTTGGAGCTGCTGAATTTCAAACTGTTAAAAATTATTCTTCTCTTTGTTCTTTGTTCCATTTTCCTAATATGTGATTTCCTTCTGTTTTTTACTAGCTGTGGGACCATTTGGATCAAACGATGTTTTTCCAAGAATTTAGACCATTTCTAAGTAGCAATCCACTGGACCAAGATAACAGAGCCAATGGCAGGGGTCACCAAACTCACACTGACTTCTGGGGACCAAGTCGGCCTCCAAGGCTGCCAGTGACCCGGAGATACAGGTCTCGAGGAAGTACTCGTCCTGACAGATCTCCAGCTATCGAAGGGTGAGTTATTTTTAGGTTCTATTTAAAGGTAGTTTCAATGAAGGACATACTGGCATAATCTGATAAAGCCCTCATATATACCTTTTTTGTGGGCAAGAAGGAAGGTAGAGACAGGATGAAAATGAAGCTAGATTGAATATCTGTACTCAACTAGTATCAGTTAATGAATGATAATAAACTGCAGTGATGAAACTAGTGTTATGGGTCTCTGGTTAACATTTTTATTAATTTCTCAGATTAAAATATACATGATCCGTTTGTAAAAATTTCAGAAGATACTAAAAGCCATATCAAGTATATTAGATAACATTAGGATTCAAAGATCTGTTCTAGATCTCAACAGACTGGAGCAATGGGCTTAATATGAAATGTGATAGAAATAAATATAAAGTCTTGTGACTATAATAACATTCAATCAATAAATATTTATTGAGTGTCTTTTCATGTGTGGAGTACTAAACTGTGCACTGGGGATAAAATGGAGAAAAAAAGAAATTGTGCTCCTTAATCTCTGGATACCATTTAGAAGGAATAATGTTAATTTTCAGTGTTTGCCATTTGTGCAGTATTGTGTATCATGCTTTATTATAGATGCCTTTGCTATTTGTACCTTATACAGTGATGGCGAACTTTTTAGAGCATTCATTCATTGATAACAATCAGCTCACTGTAGCACAAGTGCCATAGGTTTGGTACCGTTATGTAAGAATAAACAGACTCTTGAGAAATAAAGTAACAGCCACTGGTGAATCCAGGATTCTGAAACTCAGGGCCACATGAATCTAGTGGTATACTGTTGGATGTAGTGGCTACTAGCTATGTGTGGCTGTCATTTTAAATTAATTAAAAGTTCATAGAATTTGAAATTTCTCACTTCCACTAGCCACATTTCAAGGGTTCAGTGGCTGCGTGTAACCAGTAGTTACCATATTTGATAGCATAGATTATAGAACATTTTCCATCATCTCAGAAGTGTTGGGAGCAATGCTACATAATTTTAGGGAAAAATCATTTGGTTAGCCTGGTTCTCCTACCTAGAGCCCAGCTATGGAATTCCGAGACATAATTCCATTTTGGCCTCCGGTCACAATTGAGACCTCAGTGAGACCACAATGAGACCTCAATGATCGGGTGATGCTGTGATTCTCCAGGACAAGAAACATCCTAGGAGCTGAAAACATCCTGGGAGGAACAAACATCTACTCAGTTCCTCCTTGTTCTTGGATTGTTACATCTTGTTTACCCGGATGTACTGAACTCCCCGCAAGTCATTTGTTACATTTGTTTCTCCCGATGTACGGTAAGCTGGGGGCTGTCGTCTTTGCCGCCCAGAGCAGCACTGATCAGACCCAAAACTCTGCTTCTTCTCAGTCTCATTTTTCTACCTTTCCTGTAATTCGCCGTGTGCTGCCGTGGCTCGAAGGAGACTAGGATTTACTGCAGAGGTTCTGGTAACATCCCCTTTCCCTGTTCCCTACACAGAAGGTCTTATTGGATAATCCTGTTCTAGAACTTACACCCTCCTCAAACTCCCCCCGCCCCGACTACTACTAACATTTACAGTACTTGCTTTAGCACATATCTTTCTAAATAAGTATCTGTCATCTTTGGTTTTATGCTTTTCAAAGTCAGCTGGAGACATTCCTTCTTAGGACAGATACAGGATAGAAGAAATACGGTTTATTTGGATTAGGTAGGATAAAAATCTGTAATATTAGACTTTTAATAGCATTAGGTGCCTAGGAGTAAATCCACTGTGTCCCACACCAACTAAACAGCTTATACATTATGTTCCCTTCTCTACCTGTTCGAAACCCCATTGTTGATCCTCTTAACTAAAGTTAATCTAAACTCTACATCCCCCGCACTCCGTGGTCTTACTTTTCCTTATTTCTCTAGTAGGGTATTCTTAAAGTACCACTGGAGGGAAAGCTCGTAAATGTGCTCATTGGTGCCCCTACAAACAGTAAAGTGCATTTAATCTGTTAGATTTCTTAGTTACTTTTCTCCTTGCGGAGACAAAATACCTGACACCCACAATTTAAGGGAAGAAAGGTTTAGTTGGCTTACAGTTTGTAGAGGTTTCAGTCCATAGTTGGCTGGCTCCATGGCAGAGTGGCACATGGCAGAGGGGCATTGCAGAGGAGAAAGAGTTCATTGCAGGCAGAAGACAGCAAAAAGCAACAAGGGACCATAACAGTGTCTTTCTGCCTTTTATGTCTTATCCAGACTATTTAGGGTGGGTAGCACTCACTCCCTTAATCCCTAGTGCCCTCTTTCCTAGCATTGCACTGTGAATCAATTCCAGCATCATACACTCTAGATCCAGCCACCTCTCTGAAAAAGCCTACCTATGACCACATGAGGCTTTGAGGGGGACATCTAAATGCAAGCCATAACAGATTATCAGTGCTTTCGATTAGACTTTTGTTTTGCATTCTTTCAGGAAATATTTTAAATTTTCACCAAATTTCACTATCTAGATTTCCATCTAGTAGCTGATTATCACCAGCCGACTTAGCTTCTCCATTATGAAAACTGGGGCCTTAGGTGTGAACTCCTCAGATCCCTGTGCCCAGCTTCTCTGTCAACATTCATTTCTCCCTTCAGTCTCCTGGGATAGAGGTATTCTTTCTTTTTTTCAAAGCAAGCCCATCAGCTCACATTCCTGACCCATTCATTACATGTCTCTTCGGGGATTTTGTTATGTCCGTTTTCCTCTTTCTCCTCCCTTTCCCTACTTTGATGCCTATTGTTTACTCTTTTGAATCTTTAGTTTTGTAATTTTCAAACCTGGTAGTACATTAATATTACTGAGAGTACTTTTAAAACTACTGCTACCTGGGCCCCATTCCAGGGACTATGATTTTTTAGTCTTGGGTAAGGTCCAGGAATTGATAATTTTTAAAAGCTTTTGAGATTGTTCTTATTGTCACCAGGGTTGAAAATCACTGCTCCAGTTGCTGACTAGTCTTATCTTTTTCATTTTCAATAAAAAAAGTCACTAAAATCCTGGTTACCTTCTAATGACAAACCCAGCAAATATGATAAAATCTTTATTGTGTAAATCCAATCACAGAATTCAACTTGTTTGGCCTTTTTTTTCCATCTTGAAATTCCATACCCCTCTGATATCCATGACAGTACATTTTTTTGATTTACCTCTTCTCTGACTTTGCCTTCCTTTTTTGGGGGGTATGAGGTGGGTTGCTAGAGCTTGAGCCTAGGGTCTTGTGCATGCTAAGCATGCACTCTACCACTGAGCTATAACCCCATCTCTGACTTTTCCTTTTTTGTGGCCACTTTCTGAGTATTGGTTTTCCTTCATTCTGCTTTTCTTCTTACTCTACAGGATTTCACAGCTTCACAACTATTGAAGTTTTGGGCTAGATAATTATTGTGTGAGGCTCCCTTGTGTATTGTTCAGCAGCATCCCTGGCTCTCCACTGCATGCCCATAACACCTCTCCACCCCTACTCCAGTTTTGACAACCAGAAACATCTCCTGGGGGTAAAACTTTCTGGTTGAGAGCCACTGATCTATAAGTTCTCCGTGGCCATTCTCTCAAGTCTATGCTAAGGAGTCTCAAATCTGTATTCCCATTTTGACCTTTGTGTTTAAGAAATCAGATGTCTCAAAAATTAGCCTTTATAGATTATTAATATGTTCTTGTCACCAACCTAAAGAGTTACTCAGTTAACATTTGTTTTTTATTGATTACATTTTAGCATCCTTCCCTGAGAGACAAAAGAAAGACCTTTGATTTTAGCACTAATCTATTTCCCAATCACTTCATAAGATATACTGCATCTAGGAAGGTTTCTTACATAATATATTGTCAAAGTTAACTCTAGATTCTGGGACCATAGTTTTCTGATACTGATCACAACTGAAAATTTGAGAATTAACTTTTTTGATTGTTGTTAACTTTCTTTTTCTCATTTAAAAATGTTAGGGCCTAAAAAACATTAAAAAAACAGCATTATTCACACCTTCCCTCACTCTAGTACTGGGGATAGAACCCAGGGCTTCTCTACTACTCAGTATACTCCTAGCCCTTTGTAGTTCTTAAGACAGACTTACTAAGTTGACCATGTGGGACTTGAACTTGCTAGCCTGCTGCCTGAGCCTCCTTCAACTAGGATTATGGGGCATGTGACACCACACCCAACTGCTAGTTACACCTTGATATGTAATCTCATAGGTCTTTTTAAATAAATACACAGATGATATCTACATCTTTATAATTAAAATAGGATTAATCATTATACATGTTTTATATAATCTTTTATATCTTTACAGATTGTGTATCTCTTTCAGTGTACATGCATTTGGGACCCATCTAGGGAACTCTTAGCTCATTCAGTAAACATTTTTTATTACTATGTGCCAGATGATATTCTAGATGTTGAACATACAATAATGAACAAAACAGCGAAAAATGGCTGTCTTACAGAGTTTAAGTACTAATGAGGAAAGCCAGATAAGCAGAATAAACAGTTAAGCAGTAGTTAGTGTGATGGGGGAAAAGGCAAGGGAGATAGTAAGTGTTTGTGTGTGAAATTTCAAAAACATAGATAGGAAATGTGAGGTGAGAGGTGATGTTCCAAAGCATAGTTAGCAAAGACTTCATTGCAAAGGTATTTGAGTAGACAGAAAGGAAGTGAGGGGATGAACTAGGCATGTGCCAATAAGAGGAGACCACTATGGAGCAAAGTGAGGGGAATATTAGGAGATGAAGTCTCAGAAGTTTCTGGTTGTGGGGATGAGGAGGAGGGTATTTATATCATGTAGAGAATCACCTACCTAATTGGTCATTGAAAGGGCTTTTAGTCCAGCAGTTGGTCCAAGTCTAATGTGTGTCTTAAAATGATAGTTCTGGTATGCTGAGAATAAAGTGTAGGGCTGCAAGGGTGGGGGCAAGAGCAGAAGCAGAGGAACCATATAAGAGACAGTTGCATTAAAGCTAGAGATGCCAGGGCCAGGGATTTAGCTCAGTG